TCGTAGCAAAGCGAGGGGTTTTTCACTGTAGGTCTCAGATACTATCTGATTTTGATTGGTGAGACCAGGTGGTCTGCTAGGATAACACATTCCAAAATGGTTTTTATCTGTTAGTCACAGGCTGTTAGATCAGAAACAGCAGTGGGCAAGGGGTGGTTGTTTAGGGGGCTAAAGATGGCCTGAGATAAATGGTAATTAGGCTCTGGACCTGCAACATTCCAAACTCTCCACATTCATTGAAATTCTAATCAGTTGATCAGCCTTGCAGGAGAAAGTCCAGTTTGAAGATGGAAGGTTTTTTTTTCTGGGAACTTTCATTCACAACAGACATACACATATAAACATATACATAGGCATACACATGTGGGGACCTAAAGGCCCCGCCTTGCAGAGGTCTGAGAGGAAGTTACTGGGGCGTGGCCTGCTTGTTTTGAAAGTCTGAAGGATACTTCCACACTGCTGAGGAGTGCATGATCAGCATGTGATCATCCTTAAGATACACCCTCAGGGGGGAGGGGGATTTTCAGATGCCTTTATAAGCTCTGTAACACCTGCAATAAATGAGTCCCTGCTTGACTAGACTCCCCATTGTGTCTGATTGTCCTCGGTGCTGGGGGTGGCAAGGGCTGGCGAATGGCACGCTTACTCATCCCATCATCATTGCACAGGGGTCGCAGGCTTGAACCCCCCACATACACATACACCCATATACCCACATAAATGTATACACACACTACACACATATATACACATCACATATATATACACGCATGTATACACACATAAACACATATGCCCATACACACATATACAAATACACACATGCACACACATGTACACACACATACACCTATACCCACATACACCTATATACATGCATAAACATACATGCACAAATCATACATATACAAATACATGCACATGCACACATATATACACATACAGACACATAAACACATGCACACACATAAACACATACATAGGTACATAAACACGTGTCTCTTATGCCCTGGGCTTTATGTTTCTGGGAAGCTGTGGTTCACACTGAACTACTGAAGGTATCACTTCAAGAATCCCTGAGCAGGCAGCGGTGGCACACACCTTTAATTCAGCATTCAGAAGGCAGAGGTAGTGGATCTCTGTGAGATCAAGGCCAGCCTGGTCTGTAGAGTGAGTTCCAGGGGCCAGATGGAACTAAAGGGAGACCCTGTCTCAGGAAAAAAAGAAAGAAACTCTAAAATCAATGGTGAACTCCAAGCCTTGGGTCCTATGGTAAAAACTCAGATTCCACCATGAAGGATCACAGGCTGAGGGATCAAGAATTGTCTCCTTGCTTCTCATACAGCACTGCCATATCCTAGCTTCATGCCACCCCTCCTTATTTAATTGCATGCATCACTAATATGTCCATGAGGATCAACAGCCTCACCCCAAACCCACTCAAGAAGCAGGGAATAATGTTGAGGTTCACTTTACCCTTTTAAATAAAGATTTTATCTTTAAAGTTATGTGTGGGGAATATGTACATGTGAGTACAGTTGCCCTTGAAGGTCACAAAGTGGTACCAGATCCTCTGGAGCTGGAGTTACATGTAATTGTTAGACAAGGGTGCTCTTGTAGAAGACTCAGGTTTGAGTCTAGCACCCACATGGTGGCTAACAACCATCTGTAACTCCAGTTCCTAGGGATCCAATGCCCTCTTGTGGTCTCTGTGGGCACTGTATGACATGGGTGCACTTACAGACATGCAGACAATGCATTCATATAGATAATATAATAAAGTATTTTATTTTAAAGCTTGAGATCAGGTTGGAGAGACCACTCACTTGTTAAGAGCACTAGCTGCTCTTGCAGAGGACCTGGGTTTGGTTCCCAGCAACCACATGGGCAGCTAACAACAGTTTGTGACTCCAGTTCCAGGGGAGCCGATGTCCTCTCCTGTTCTCCTGATGCCATGCTCACACGTGGTGCACTTACATGCAGGCAAAACATTTTTACACATTAAAAAATAAAGGTTGAGATGTCAGTTCCCAGAAAGTTCTGACATTCTCTATTCTGAATAGATTCCTGTTTTCCTTCCTTTCTCCCTATTTTCAGCTATCATACTGAACTTTTGTGTGTGTGTGTATGCGTGTATTGCCTGCATGTATGTAAGTGCACCCATGTCATGCAATGCCCATGGAGGACAGAAGAGGCCGTCCCTGGAACTGGAGTTACAGACAGCTAACTGGAGTTAGCTGCCATGTGGGTGCTGGGATTCGAACCCCTGTCTTCTGCAAGAACAACTAGTGTTCTTAACCACTGAGCCATCTCTCCAGCCCCGTACTGAATTTTTTAAAATGTGTATGAGTGTTTCACCTTGTTTGCACCCATATTGTGCAATGCCAGAGGAGGCCAAAAGAAAGCATCAGCTCCCCTGGAACTGAGTTACAACAGTTATTAGCTGCCATGTAGATGCTGGAAACCAAACCCAGATCCTCAACAACAGCCCGTGCTCCTAATCTCTGAGCCATCTCTCCAGCCCCTTATTTTGTTTTTGAGACAGGGGCTCACACTGTAGCCCAAATTAGCATGGAACTCACTATGTTGACCAGTAATCCTCCTGCCTCAAACACCCAAGCTCTGGAATTATAGAAGGAAGCACCACACCTGGCTCCATACTGAACCTACGATGTCACTCTTCCTTCGATGACACAGTTCTTCCCTGCCCTACCCCATCCAAGGCCCATCCCTGCATCTTAGACTAGTCCATTTTATTTTCTTGCCCTCTGCCCTCCTCCTCTCACTTTCTTATTAAAAGAATCAACAGGAGCTGGGTACGGTTTAATCCCAGAACTCAGGAGACAGAGGCTAGCAGATCTCTGTGAGATTGAGACAAGCCGGGTCTATATAGTGAGTTCCAGGCCAGCTGTGGCTACAGAGAGCCTGTCTCTAAAAGACAACAACAACAACAACAAAAGAATTATAGGGCTGAGGAGATGGTTCAGTGGTTAAGAGCACTTCCTACTCTTGCAGAGGACCTGAGTTTGATCCCAACACCCACCTCAGGCAGTTCACAACCACCTACAACTCCAGCTTTATGGGGGATCTGTCGCCTCTGGCCTCTGAAGGCACCTGTACTCACATACACATACCCACACCCAAACACATAACTAAATGGATTGGAGAGATGGCTCAGCAATTAAACACACTGGCTGCTTTTTCAGAGGCCCTGGGTTGGGTTCCCAGCACCCACATGGTGGCTAACATCCATCTGTAACCGCAGTTTCAGGGAATCCAAGGCCGGCTTCTGGCCTCCACACATGGTGTACTTACATACATGCAGGCAAAACACTGTGTATGTGTAAAATAATTTTGTATGTGTATGAGTGTTTTGCCTGCATGTATGTGAGTGCACCTGTGCCGTACAATGCCTCAGAGGTCAGAAGAGGGCATCAGATTCCCCTGGAACTGGAGTCAAGGACAGTTCACAGCCACCATGTGGGTGCTGGAAATCTAACTGGGGTCCTCTGCAAGAGCAGTCAGTGCTCTTAACTACGCTGAGCTATCTCTCCAGCGCCACCACCACCCCCTTTTTTTAATCAAGGGGCAGAACATAGTGGTGAACACCTGTGATCCCAGTACTCAGAAAGTGGAGGCAGGAAGATCAGGAGTTCAAGGTCTGCTACAGCACACGCCTGTTATATAGAGTTCAAGTCCAGCCTGGTCTAATATGAGACCCTGTCTCAAAAATTCAAAAAGGGGGTCTGGAGAGGCGGCTCAGCTGTTAAGAACACTGGCTGTTCTTGCAGAAGACCCGAGTTCGAATCCCAGCACCCACTTGGCAGCTAACAACTGTCCATAACTCCAGTTCCAGGGGATCCAACAGCCTCTTCTGTCCTCTGGCGGGCATTGCACGACACGGGGGCACTTACCTACATGCAGGCAATACACGCACACGTATAAAAATAAAATATTTTTTAAAAATTTTGAAAGGAAGGGGAAAGGATGAGGGATGAGGGGGAGGCAAAGGCGAAGGGGGATAGAGAAGAAGGTAGAATTATGGCCCCAGGTGCACTGCTCTGGACCGGAAGGAGACCTGACTTAGCTCCCGCCGCACCCAGTTCCAGAAGAACGAAGGGAAGGCGGGAGGACTGTGTGGACAGCAATCTGAGTTTTAATGCAAGAACACGCGGCACACCCTGAGCTTCAGAGAAGATACGAAGGCAGGAGGGGTTAGGCTGGACCCTTTGTGATTCAGACCTAACCTAGCCATCCCGCCTTCAGCTCAGAGCCAGGCTCAAAGGATGCGCTTTCTGCGCTTTCAGATAACGCCCCTTCTCAGACCCAAGCCCAGTGCCCCGCCCTTTGATTGCCCCCCTCCGCCCCCCACCCCGCGCGCCCAGCCTTGAACTAGGCCACACCCCTCCATTAGCCCCTCCCCCATTTCATTCACCCAGGCCTCAAGCCCCACCGCCTGGAACGCCAGCCCACCAACCTCACACCCAAGTCTCATGACCCCATTGGTCACCCTGCGTCACATCCCCGCCCTCCTTCAGTATCACTGGCTGCCTACATGTCAATCTTCATCGCACTGCGCCCCCCCCCCGCCCCCCGCCCCTCTCAACAGTTGCCAAGGCCGAGGTTTGAGGGGCAGATAATAATGGACATCTCAGGACGTCTTTTGATTGGGTAGAAAGCTCGGCTCTGGGCGGGGCTTAGTGCCTCTGCTTAGGTTTCCTCAAGCCAGCAAGCCTTCCTTCAGAGACAAACCCCTCGTCCCTTACTATTGGTCTCTCTAGGTGTGGATCAATAGCGTTCCTTATTCTGATAGGATAAAGTGTGCGTCTATCATCACTATTCTCGTTTCAATTCGCTCCTCTCCTCAGAGAGACCTTAGCCAGGGCCCGCCTTACAAACTGGCTACGGATTGGCCAGACCTCCCGTCACTCTTCGTTTGTAGGAGGAGCCTAGCGTCTGAGGGGGCGGTGAATTGGTTGACTGGGCTGGGGGGGCGGGGCAGCTACTCCTGTCAGCGGGTGAAATGGCAGCGGCTGTGCCGCCGGCGGCTGCGGTCCCCGGGGGCGGCTGAGCTAGGGGGGCCGGGCCGCAGGGCTTTGCGGGGTTCCCCCCACCCTCGAGCGGGCGCGACCGCGGGCGGGGGGAATCTGACGGCGCGGTGCTGGGACGGCGAGGCGAGGCGAGGCGCGGCGATGGCAGCGCGCTCAGCGCAGGTAGGGCGGCCCGCGGGGCCCGGGCCTCTTCTCCTCCCGGGGACGTCAGTGCTTCGGGGCTCCTCGAGCCGGGAAGTCGGGCACAGGAGCGTGACACGGGGGCTCCTCAACCCCCGGAGATGGGAGCCTCAGCATTCCTAGCCTTAGACCCTTGAACCCGGCCTCCGCCCACCCTCGTTCCCGATCCCCTTCACCACAGCACCCCGATTCCTCTCCAAAGGCCTCCAGGACCCCATGTCTCTTCCTCGTGACCCCTGCCCATCTTTCACAAGACCCCTCCCTAAGAGCCTCTCCAGGGTCTCCCCATCCCCCACTATGCAGTTCCACCCCCCCCACGAACGCCCCGCCCCCCTTCCAGTCCATGACACCCGCCCCATCATCCCCCAGGACCCTTCCATCTGTACATCCCTTGCCACCTCGTTCCCAACCCCCTCACTTGGCATTCTGTCTTCTGCGTCTGACCTGCACCCGCATCCTCTCCCAAGGAGACTAAGCTCAGGGTGCCTCTCTTCTCAAATAGGAAGATTCCCCTACCCAATCCACAGGCATCGGCTCAGCCTGCTGGCTTGGCAACCCTATCGGCTCAGCCTGCTGGCTTGGCAACCCTCAATACCCCAAGGGCACCCCTAAAAAATTCACTCCTGGGGTCCAAGAGGACCATACACTATTGCTGATCTTGATCCATCTAACTCCCAGCTTCCTTTTTTGGAAAAAAAAAAAATCCATACTCAGGACTTCTAATAAGATCCTGACACCCCTCCCAATAGACATACCCTCCCCCACCTGAAACACACACACACACACACACACTGGGGTCACTTGGATACCCCAAAGCACAGAGAAACTTGGGAGCTCAACACAGACACACATACACATGACTGCTGAATCCTTGAACCCCACCTGCACAGGCCCTCCCACAGCTCCCCCAATAGCCCTTCCAGCTGAGACAAGACACAGGAAACTTTGAAGTGACAGCCCTGTCCCAGCCTGCCCCTCCATCCCATCCTCTTTAAGCTGGGACCACTCTAGGATTCCAAAGGGTGTCAGGGCCCTACAATCTGTCTTACCCTTTTTAAAAGGAAGGATACTTTCTCTTTCTTACACCAGTGTCCCTAAAGGAACCACTGCTTACCCCCTAACCTATACCATCCCCATCCCATGGGGAGGGAGAAGTTTCAACTGGTCCTGGCCCCAGTCCCGAAGCCTACCCAAACTGGTAGGACCAGCATCCTTGACTCTATGTCATCTGCTGGCCTCAGATGACAGAGCCAGCACTTGCCATCCAGAGTGCTCATCAAGGCCAGTCCCCTGACAGCTCTTGTGAGTTCTTTCACCCACTACCATGCGTTTGGCCAAACAAAACAGCTTCCTAGTATTCTGGCATTTGGAATCTGCTGGGACTGGGTCAGGACCCTGCCAGAAGCAGGCAGCTCTTTGTTTAAGGAATATTTTCAGAAGGGAAAAAATGTGCTGAAGAGGGTTGAAGGGAAATATGAAGGGAGGGAGCAAATGTTTTTGCCCCCCCACCTCAAACCAGGCCACGATTGAACCAAAGCTCCCCAGATTCCTCCCTGCCTCTTTCATGGTTCATATTGATTCTTCCTACCAATCCTACCACCCCATAGCTGTCATCCTGGGGTCCCACCTGTAGGTTCCCCTTGGGCTTCTGCGGTTGACTGTGGGTGGTTTGGAAGGGATCGCAGGTGGCTTGGCCCTGACACAGGAGATGAGGCAAGACAGGAGAGAAGAGATCACAGAACTGGCTGTGGTTTATAGGACTGCAGGGTGAAAGGAAGAATCCAGATCAAACCAGCCCCAACCAAGCATTTAGCCTACTGGAAAGACCCAGATAAAAAACCTAGGCTTCCCTGTAGAATATTTACAAGCAGATTCTGGATAGATCAGAAAGAAAAAGCTGGTTTTGGCTTAGAGCCTCAACTTACATGTTTGGAAAATGGAGGGGGGGGGGAATAAGCATTTAGAATAGTAGTGCTCTACACTGGAAAGGACCCAGTGGGGTTAGGGTGTGGCTTTGTATGTTTCCTGGGAGCCCTGTAAAAGGGGACAGTGGAGGCTGGGTGGGGACAGGCCCCTACCTGTGGGTGTGTTGGTTGCATCTTTGGCGTCCACAGTCCCACAAGGCTTAGCTGTCTTGCAGGAAGCTGACTTGAATGAGGGCTGGAAAGATAAAGAAGAGGTGGTCTGTCATGAGCCTTGTGGTCATGCATGGGGTCTCATGGGAGGACCAAGGTTATGGGGAGCTGCCAGCCCTGATGCCCCACATAGACCCCTGGACATGGGGTAGAAGTTTGTCCTTTCCATTTGCTGAAGGCAACCATCCATGAAATGGCTCTTGAAGGTCATATGGTACATAAGAAACAAACTCCAAGACCTCCCCAAGGGGACCTTGCACAGATGGACACAGTGGGGTGGAAAGGCTTCCTGAGATAGACTGTGAACTCTATAAAAAGTACCAGAAGACTTTCAGGCTTTTGAGTGGAATCAGCATGGTTTTGTTGTAGCCTGGGGATATGGATCCCTTGTCTTTATATCTGTGTTTTGATAGATACTTGTAGATATGAAAGAACATATGTTTCATCTTCCTCTTGTATAATGTAGATGTCACTCATTATGGGTAATGACCCACTCTACCCCAGGGACTTGAATCAGGTGCCCTGCATCTAAAACCTGCAGGGCTTGCTTGGATTGAGGGGAGAGTTGGACCCAGAAGCACACATTGATCAAGCTGGTGCCACGTGCCATTTGCATATTATCTCATTTGATCCTGTGAACAACTTAAGGAGCCAGCATTCCATTGTACAGCCTTGCTGGCACACCCTGCTTCTGTGGTAGGGAAGCAGGAGGCAGAATTAAGTACAGTACGCTGCTGCAAGAACCCCGAGAGGGGACCTTCAGGGCATCAGGCAAGGTGTGGCAGGGGTGATGTTTGGATGCAGTCACCAGGCAGGCATCTTCATTAGCGTGTTCCAGAAGTACTTGGACAGGGGCCCAGGAGGCAGGAACCAGCATGGTTCCTTCAGAGATGTGTGACTTCTAACTAGGATGGAGGGAAGGAGGGAAGAGGAGATAGGGAGGGAAGGAAGGAAAAAAAGGATAGGATAGATAGATGAACAGGCCTGGGTGGACAAAACACAATCCACAACATGGTCAGGCACTCCCAGGGAAAAAGAGACCTCAAAGTTGGGAAAATTTATAGAAAAGAAACCATACCATCTCCAGGAAAGCATGTTGTCCCAGAAGCCAAAGGCAGGCAGTAGGAGGAGGGAAGTTGACAAGAACTGGCATGCTCCCTACCCTCACCCCCAATCAGAGAATACACCCGTCCCTCAGAGATTTCAAAGGCCCTTTTGGTACAGTTCACTTGACTTTACTGTCATTTCTCAATATATCACTGTGCTTATGAAATGTTTTCTTTATTTGTAGGTGGGCCGTGTATGTTCATATATGTGTAGGTACATATATGTGTGCATGTGTATGTGGAGGCGAAGGGCCATCCTTGGGGGTTGTTCCTCAGGACCTGTCCACCATGTTTTTTGACATAGGCCTCTCACTGGAACCAAGGGCTCAATGATAAGGCCAGGCTGGATGGCCAGCAAGCCCTAGGTCTGCTTCCTGGGCGCTGGGATTGCCAGTGCACACCACCATGACCAGCTTTTTTATGTGGGTGCTAGGGATTGAACTCAGGCCATCATGGTTGCCTGGCAAGCACTTAAGTGACCGAGTTATTTTCTCAGTTCTTTAAAGTCTTTTTTTGCATGTGCACGTGTGTGTGGTATACATGTGTGCTAGTTAACTTTCTATTGCTGCGATAAAGCCTCTGATCAAAACCAACTTGGGGAGGAAAGGGTTTATTTGGCTTACACATACCCATCACAGTTCATCACTGAGAGAAACCAAGGCAGAAATGTAAGCAGGGCAAGAACATAGAAGCAGACACTGAAGTAGTGACCATGGAGGAACACTGCTTACTGGTTTGCTCCCCTGGCCTGTGCTCAGCCTGCTTTCTTATTCAACCCAGAACCACCTGCCAGGGGTGGCATCACCCACAGTGGGCTGGGCCCTACCACATCACTCAACAATCAAGAAAATGCCTCACAGACATGGCCACAGGCCAGTTCCATAGAGGAAATTCCCCAACTGAGGTTCTCTTTTCCCAGGAGTGTTAAGTTGACAACTGAAGCTGATCAGCACAGCATGCATGTATGCATGTTCCCATGTGTGTGCATGTCTGTGCAAATGCACTTTACATGTTCACGTGGAGGGCAGAGGTTGACGTCCAGTGAATTCCTCAGTCACTTTCCCCTTTATCTACTGAGGCAGGGTCGCTCCTCGAACCTGGAACTTTCTGACTTGTCTAATTTAGCTAGCCAGTTTGTTCCAGGGACCCTCTGCCTCCACCTCCCAAGTTCTGGGATTGTAAGAGGCCACCATACCTACTCAGCTTTGACATGGGTTCTGGGAATCCAAACTCTGGTCCTCATGCCTACACAGCAAACAATCCACTGAGTCATCTCCCTACCCCACCACCCCCCAGGCAATCTTTTCATTGACATGTGTCTCCCTCAACAGCCTATGAGCAGGTCCTTTGAGAGGAGGGTGCCTATCTGTTCTTGTCACAGGTGACTCCCAGATGAATACAAGGCACATGGCAGGTGATCAGAAAAAGACATGTTTATGAACTGATGAGCTTCCCTCCCTCAGCAATTTTGAAACAGAAAAGATATCTTCTCTGGGGGAGGGCTGCTAAATGTAAGGCTAACCTCCTTCTCCTATGCCTACTATCCTACCCAGTGAACCTGGGCAGCTGCCACAGATAACAGAAAAATACCATCTTTAACTTGGAGACACAAAGCATTGCAAAGTGCCACTCCACTTATCCACCTGCCACTGGAAGGCCTTATGGAAGGGCTTTGATGTTCTTCCTTTGTCATTCCCAGGGCCATGAAAATACAGGAATGACAGACGTGACCCCAAACGAA